CCGCACCCCCTCCCCCGCCCGTTTGCCTCCTTTAGGAGATCCATATGGGACGCTTCCCCCTTCCTCTGATCCTCACGCCAGAGCAGACAAGCCTCGATTCTCCACCTTCAGTGTTCCCCTGCTCTGGCCCTCACATCCCACAGCTTCCTAAAGTGTTGTGAGAGCGCAGAGTGGAGCCGCAGGCCTGCACGGCCCAGGTGCTGTGTCAGCCTATCTGCCGGTTCCGCGGCGTGTACGGCCTGGAAAGTCACATGGCGGTGGGACCGGCCGGCGTCTCCACACTCTTGCTCTCCTAAGAGCAGGACGAAATCACCGAGTCCACTCACCTCCACGAAGAGCAACATGTCTTCCCCCTTTCGGCCCAATCGTTCTCGCCGCTGCTACTCCAACTGTACAGGCCCGAGCCCCAAACGCTAGGATAAGGACACTCGCCTGGCCCCTCCACCCGGCAGTGGACCCGGCTCCTCCCCCGCCGTCAGCCGCTGCGGCCTGACCCGCCCAGTCCCACCTCCCTTGAAACGGCAACCGTTTCCGGTTCTAAAGAACAATTGCTTCCGGGAGAAGAAACACTCCTCCTCGGCTTGCTCAACTTTTGCACCACCTTTTCCAGCAGCAATATGGAAAGTACTATCATATGTCCCGGGAGGAGGAGGGAAGCGACCAGAGGAAGGCACCATTCTGTGCTACGGGGGTGTGTAAAAGCCTTACTGCATTTTATCCATTGCCAAACAGCTACCATGGCCATAATAATTTCGTAGTTTTCATAGCTCAAAATCTAGATCTGGTGAAAAGCCGAGTTTGTGCGAACTGTTCTGAAGGAACGCCCAACGCTGCCGAAAAGGTGGTGGCTAACAGAAAAAAAGTAGAGGAGGAAAAAAAAAAGCACTAATAGTAAATATATTAATAGCAGCTGCTGTATATTACATGCTTACTATGTGTTTGGCATTCTACGTATTTTACATGAATTAATCTTAAAACAATCATATGCAATGTATACTGTTATCCCCATTTTAACAGTTAAAGAAGTCCTCTCTACAAGGGCGGGTTTCTCTTAGACACACCTTTAAAGAACTTTGTCCCATGTTCGCTTGACTCGGGTACCAACATCTCTGCTTAATATAATGCTACTTAATAATAATCTGGATAGCCTCTTCTTGGTGTTGTGCCGTCAATTCAAATGAAATATAATAAAAAAATGTTTAATTATCTTTTAATTTTCTATTAGATAATCCAAATTTCTTGTTATCTTTACAACATCTAGTAGGACTTATCCCTCCCTTGTCAGTCCCACTTGTATATCCTAGCTCAGACCCTCGTCTTTTGAAATAATCACGTCTTGATCTTTTCCAATGTATTTTTTTTCCATTCTATTATTTCAAAAATCTTCCTGAATTGAAGGTTTCACAAAACTGCTGTTATTTGCTTTCAAGACCATTCTGATCCCACATAATCTCCCTGACTTTAACGCAAATGAATCTCCTTATTTCACTTAGGTACCAAATTAATTCCCCCATCATTGCTATTTGTGTTTCATACTCTCCCTAATCTGATCCCCAGTCAACATTACTTCATCTCAATTAAACCAATCTCCTCACTTTTCCCCTGAAATACAAACTCAGCACTCAGCTCCAAGGTCTTCCCTATCTGGAATGCCTTCATTCGTCAATCAGCCTTCTCTTTCCATAAGGTTTTCCCAAAGACTGTGCTCCCCACAGGTCTCTTCTTTATGTCCCTTGTTAGCACTTGAATATTATAGTCTATCTTAAATAATTTTCTCTTTTTGTTTTCTAGTTTCTTCACAAGTAACCTATCATATTCTTCACAGTCTACGATAATGGTAGCCTCATAGTAGTGTCTCAACAAATGTCAAATTGAAAGGGAAGGAGAGAGATTTTAAAATTTGCTTTAAAAAGTTTTCATTTCCAGTTGCTGACAAATTCCATGATGCATAAAAAATATGAGAGCAAGAAAGAGCACAATAATGCTAAATTAGTTTAGTTGACAAGCACGTAGGCAGCTTTGTGAATGCCTACTGGAGTAACCAATGTAAAGAAATAAAAGTTATTTAAGGATCTCACAATCTAATATTATCAACAAAGTACTTAAATGGATTAATTGATAATCTCAAGAAATGCTGGATAATGATGGGTATTTTAATCAAACCTCATATTTATAAAAATAAATAATTCCCCTTAATTGTGGTCCTTTCAGAAAACATGAAGTTCCTTGAATAAATAGACTTGTGATTTACAGGAAGGGGGGGAGTAATATTTTATGACTAGGGGCAGGGTGGGCAGTCTAACAATAGAAGGAAGTATTCTGGGGCTTAGAAAAGTTTCCATAAGGAGAAGAATCTGAGAAACTATTGGGTCGTCGGAAAAGCTGTGGTGCATTTTTGCATAGAAAACAGAAAAAATACGTCATGACTTTTCTGGTGACCCAATATAATGGATATCCAAATTTTAGACTGTTTCTGTAGAGGAACTGAGAAAGAATATACCAAATGTTAGAAAAAGAAAACTAAGTACAGCATCTGGTTTTGAGAAGTTCACCAATTAGTAGATAGAGACAAATAATAGTTACACTTTGATGAGTTAAGTACTATAATAGAAAGTTTACAAAGTGATTTGGAAACACAAAGGAGGGAGTAACTTAAGCAAAGGATCTTAATTAAAGAGAAGGAAAAATATCTAATTTGCTCTCTCTAAGTATATTGGTATTTTTAAAAGACAACTACTTTATTATCCTCTGCCTCCCTTTCTCTGAAGGCCTGAAACATATATATTGTTTAACTTTACAAGTTTACAACAAGGACTCAACATATGACTAGGTTTACAATGAGTACTCAGATAGGAAGTTCTTGTAGAAAACACCCAAAACTTGTATAAAACCTAAAACCTACAAAATGATATTATATAGTTTATGAATACATATACCTGTAGTAAAACCATATAAACATAGACTAGACATAAACACATCCAATTCATGATTGTCATTGCCTCTAAAAAGGGATAGAGGGGAAGGAAAGAGTTTGGGAAGAACACCAAAGGGGTCTTCAACTTTATCTCTAATGCTTTCATTTATTTAAAAATATCTGAGGCAGGGCCTGCCGAGTGGATCAGTTGAGCTCTGAGCAACTAGTGGTTTGATTCCCGGCTTGAGCTGAGCTGCCGCTGAGCTGCCAACAGATGTGATATATATATATATCTGAGGCAAATATGACAAAAATGTTAATATTCATTCCAAGTGATAGGCACATGGCTATATGTTTTATATATATATATATATATATATATATATATATGCTATATATGTAATTTTTCATATTTTTTTAAATGAAAAAAATAAGCTACACAGCCAACAGAACTACCTGATCTTTAATTCCTCCAGTCTCCTAAATCTTTTCACCTCCTGTGCAATCAAAGAGGCTGCCCAAAGCTGTCCTCTTTTAGTTAGAAAGCAGCCCTAGCCTTCCCTTCAATTTCTGGAGCCAACTATGGAACTTCAAAGCCTTCTACAGTCAGGTTCCTTGAAAAAACAGGTAGTGCAAAGAGCATGATAATCATTCAAATAACATCTTCCAAGTTTCTGCATGTCTAGCAAAAGTTGAAGGGCAGCTGAGGAATTTGTAACACAATTATTCCATTACAGGCTGAAAAAATTCTTAAGCAAAAGTTGAAGAAGAGAAGAACCAGGAGCTACATTTGATACACTGGATCTTGAATTCTAACAGCTAGATTTTAAGCTCATTTAAGCAGGGCTATATCTTCTATTTCTTTTATCATTCCTGTTGTCTATTCTTTTCCTACCCTCCCACCTCCCTTCACCCTTCTACCATCACAGCATATGGAATGCCTAGTTCTCTGACTATAGTAAGCACTCTTTAAATGTTTGAGTCAATGATAATGTCACAATGGGTCTATTATGACATCACCAGGACTGGAACACCATGGTTAGCAACCAATTAGTAGCAGAATAATTCACAACCCCTGGAAGCGGGAAAGACCTCTTCTAGCTTTTTTCTACACGTTTATTAGCATTTGCTGATATTCTGTGAAAAGAAATAAAAGAAAATCATTTAACTTTTCAAAATATTTATCAAAATGCGGAATACGAGAGATGGCGAATCTGAATCAGAAAATGAAGTTATAGATTCCACCATCATGTCCAGAATAGCCCTAAGTAAATCAATGATCCCTAAGCTTGAGACCCCAGTCACAGTACAGCAAGTCATCTCTAAGATTGAGGGAGCACAACTCTTTCGAGCCAGACAGGTAGGTAGTAAATAAGAAGTTTACAGGTTGCAACTTTTTTTTAACTTTCCATGATCAGCTACATTTTTTTTTTTAGAACTCACTTTATTTGCATGATATTTGACTGTTTTGAGGTAACTTTGATTTCAAATGACAATTTCACCTGACTGAATAACAAGCTCCAGTTTTATATTGATATCTCTTACTTTAATATCAGAATTAATCAAGCTTTTAAAGAAATCACATGTGCTATTGAGTGATTTAGATACAAAGAAAAATTAAAATCTATACCTAATTTTGTTATCTAATTTTAATCAATAGTTTTCATTTGTTCACAAATGAGTTTTTATCAAGTAACTATTAACACGAGGAAACATTGCTTTGAATTCTAGTTCCTTTTATTACCACTGAACACTTCATGGAAGAGGGGTTTATTGGCCATGAGAAATACAAATACAATTTAAAAAGAGCTTGAATAATATATCAAATAGACCCCCAAACAATTAAGGCAATGCTGCATTCTAGTCTCAGACAGAATACAATAAAATCAGTCAGATTAACAAATTAATTCAGGGGAAGTCCTTTCCTGTGTTTAAGAAGTGCTAAATGGTTTGTTTTACTTTCTCATTCTCCACATAGACTTACTCATACTCCAACTCCCCACAACTAGCAACAGTAACACAGTGTCTGCTTCTAACAGCTTCACTGAGGTGTAGTTGCCATACAATAGAATGGGTATTTTTAAAGTATATGTTTTAATATACATGAACTCCCAGGAAACCTTCATCACAATCAACAATGAATTTACCCAAAACCCCCAAAATTTTCTTTCTGTCCCTTTACAATCATTCCCACACAACTCTCTTTGCCTGACCCCCACCCCAGTCCCCAGCCAACCAGAATCTGCTTTCTGTTACAATACATTATTTTGCATTTTAAAATAATTTTATGTTAGTGGACTCGTATATCTACTTTCTTCTGTCTTCTTTCACTTAGCATAATTATTTTGAGATTCATCCACATTCTTGCATATGTAGTTTATTGCTTTTTATTGCTGAATGTTTTTTCATGGGATGGGCATTTGAGTTGTTTCAGGTTTGGGGTTATTACAAATAAAGCTGCTACGAACATTTGTGTATTTATTCACAACTTATGAACATATGCTTTTTTTTTACTGTTCAATAGATATAATTTATTGATTTATCCTCCATGGCTTTTTATCATTTTATATTTTCCATCTTGCTATCTCATGGAACACATTAAGTATATTTCTTTCTTTTTTTTAACATATGCTTTTGTTTCTTTTGGATAAACACCTAAGTTTGGAATGGCTGGGTCATGTGGCATGTAAATATTCAATTTTTAAAATTAACTACTAATTGTTAAAAAATGTTTATACTATTTTATATTTCCACAGGCAGTATATGATATTTTCAATTGCTTCACATCTTTATCAACACTTAATATTATCAATCTTTTTAAATTTACCCATTCCAAAAGGTGTATAATAGTATCTCATTGTGGTTTTAATTTGTGCTTTCATAATGACTCGTGATTTTGAGCATCTTTCCATGAGCTTATTTGCACTCAGTATGTCTCCTTTGGTAGTTCAATTTTTTTTAGATTTTTTTTATTGGAGAATTGGGGAGATGGGAACAGTGCTGGGGAATTGGGGGAAGGGGAACAGACAAGTTACTGTTGTTTTGTTCTTCAGTCTAGTTGTGGAGGATGTTGCTT